GCCTATGCCTTTTTCTGACTCTGGCCTTAATCTGGAAGCTCTGCTGAAACCAGTTTGCTGTGGGTGACCCTGCTGGCCCTGGAAACGCAGGTGCCAATGCTTCCAACATCATAGCCGCACCCGGCCACCACAGTAGGACAGATGAGCGATGGGCTTTTTGCATAAAAAACGAAAAGCCAAACCCACTCCTCTCCAGTCGATTTCAGCCCATAGCAGCCCTATGTAGGGTTTCTGGGGCTGTACATCTTCAGAAAAAAGGGAGCAGAGAGCCTCCACTTTCCCCCCTTTCAGTGGCTGATGGGTTTGAACCACTGACTTTGTAGTTAGCAATCCCATGTGTTACCTGACAAGTAGCATGAGGGCTTTATTCATAGTACCCCCAAAACCCAAATCCACGGCCATGGAGTTGATTCTGATAAGGCCCCTAGGGGACAGAGTGGAACGATCCCTTTGTGTTTCTGAGACTGGAAGTCTTTATGGGAGCAGCTTCATCTTTCTGCCGCTGGTGGGTTCGAATTGTCTGAACTTCCGGGCCACCAGAATAGGGTAGGAGTCCAAGAATACCCGGCCCCACCCAGGCCTGCGCGGAGGCTTAAATGAGAATCCGCTGAGGACTGTTCGTCGCAGAACAGCCAGCAATTGGAGGGCTGCTTGCAGATTACACGTGGAATCACTTTAGCAAACAACTGGCGACTTCTGCTGGGCGGTGAGGGTTTCCTGCCCCTGCAGTGGTTCGACTGCTTGGCTGCTAAGCAAGAGGTTGGCATTTCGAAGACACTCCCCACTCTTCAGGAGAAAGTTGTGGCAGACCGCTTCTGTAAAAATCTGCAGCCTAGGAACCCTATGAAACAGTTCTGTTCTCTGCCATGAGGTCACTCTCAAGTGACCCGTGGGGTTGGCTTTGGAGGCCTCGTTAAGCCAGTGGCTGATTCCCACTCTACTCCCAAGTGTGTCAGAGTAGAGCTATGCTGCATGGGGCTTTCAGTGGCTGCTTTCTCAGAAGGGGGTCACCAGGCTTTTCTTCCAAAGCGCCTGGAGGTAGACTGATTCTGCCAACAAACATTTTGGTTAGCAGCCAAACTCTCAAAGAATGTGAGTGGGAAGATTTAGCCAGGCGAGGCTGGCGCTGTAGGGAAGGGCATAGTCTTCTCGGCGGGAGGGGCTGAAATTAGTGTTTTAACCTGCACCTCCTGTGACCCCGAGTTCCCGTGTGATGCTGGGGGAACGAAAGAGGGTGTGAGGTGGAGGGTGTGAGGTGGAGGGCGGCAAGGCCCAAGACGCTGCTCTAAAGCAATGCTCTGGCTGCAACAAACCCCCAAGCACCCTTTACAAAAAGCCAGATGAATCAGGAAATCAGGAAATGGGTACATGTTCCCATTTACCTTAAAACAAAAACGTCTGCTCATGAGCTGAGAGTGGTGCCCTTTGACCTTCTGACATTAACAGGATCCACCCAACATCCAAGACGCCAGATCCTGGTCCTGCTAGGGCATTTTGGAAACAACTGTGAAACTGAGTATTGAATTCATTGGGATTTTGAATTTCCTACCCCTTTACAATGCCTATGGCAGTTGTTTTGAGAAATTCGCCTTCAAATCCTTCCAAACAACTCGTTTGTGTTGATAGACTCCGTTTATGCATTTACAAGGCGTTTGGCTTTTTGTCTAATTGCTCTTGATCGGTTCCGCCTCAGGCTCACAGCAAGCTCAGGACTGGTAGGCACAGGGCTGCCAGCTGGGGGAGCAGTCAGCACTTTCAAACAGCTTTGTTGACATAAAGGAGTAAATCACCCACCGCACAAGACACCCACTGAGAGTGTCCAATTCTTTGGTTTTAAACATATTCACAGAGCACAAGGCAATTCCCACGATCTCACGTTAGAACAGGTTCTTCCCCCACCAAGAAACCCCACTCAGAGCACCCATTAGCCGTCCCACCTCCCACCTCCCACCTGGGGGCTCACTAACCGGCCTTCTCGCTATGGATTTGCCTCTTCTGAACATTTCATATAAAGGCAATCACACAGTATGTGCCTTTTGTGCCTGCCTCTTTAACTTGGCATATGTTCGGGGTCTGTCCGTGTTGTGGGGAGGCCTGGTGCTGTAGTTTTGTTGGGCTGCTGACCACAAGGTCAGCAGTTTCAAACTACCAGCCCTTCCACAGGAGAAAGACAGGACTGTGTGCTCCCGTCCAGAGTTCGTCTCGGGAACCCCCAGGGGCAGTTCTTCCTCATCATTTAAGATTGCTGTGGGATGGTAGGCTGTGTGTTACATCTTGCTCTCCTTGCCTCATGGAGCTTTCCATGTTGTGGTTGGCCACGATGCAGGCAGCATTTACCACCGGCAGGCCCCACATGCTTTTCCCGGGACCTTGTCATGGTACCCAGATTGCTCTGCGGGCAGCTGCTTCTAGTATTCTGGTTACGGTGGAGATGGCTGAGGCCAAGACTTTATGATGACACACATGCCAAGGCAGTTGTCTATCTCCAGGACCTGCTCTCCCCACCACCTGGCCCATTCGTTCACGGTCACTGCCCAGTTGAGCAAATGCTGAACCCTAGTGATAACTCAGCGCAAAAGCACATAACCACCTGTTCAGGAACAGTGACATCAACACACCCACACCCCCTCCACCCCAGATTCCCACAAAACTATCTTTCAGACAATTCTGCCACTTGCCACCCTTCTTGTCTGTCTGTGTGAGCCCCCAGTGTGTCTCCGTGGATACATCAGCTAGGGAGCTCATGTTGTTGTTAGGTAGCTGTTACCTACTGGGCTGCTAACCACAAGGTCAGCAGCTCAAGAATACCAGCTGCTCGGTGGGAGAAAGATGAGGCCTTCTACTCCCCTTTCAGTTAGTTTCAGAAACAAACCCACAGGGGCACTTCTAACCAGTCCTGTCGGCTCGCTGAAGCAGAACTGACCCCGTGGCAGTGAGTTGAGAGGCAGCTATTAGGAATACTCATTCACTTTCATCTGTGATCCCCATTTGCATTCCCATCCCGACTGCTAATGCTTCATCTAATGTGCAGTCTCTGGGCTCAGAAGCAAGGCACTTGACAGGAAAACAATAGAACAGAAAACTGCCATCGAGTTAATGCCCACTCAGCGACTCTAAAGGACAGGGTAGAACTGCCCTGTTTTGAGTTTTTGAGACTTTAACTGTTTGCAGGAGTAGAAAGCCCCATCTTTCTCCCACAGAACCACGGGTGGTTTTGAACTGCTGATCTTGCACATCGCAGCCCAGTGCATAACCACTACACCACCCAGGATCCAGAAAAATAGTGTTCATTAATTTAAAGCCTGGAGAATAGCTACATTGCATTTCACACCATAAACAGGGGTACCCGTCAGTGCAGAGAAGCACCCAACCCTGGGCATGATCCATCGGAATCTGGATGCACAGGGCCCATCGTGGCCAAGCAGCAGCATGACAAGGGTGCCTGAGCACGGTTGCTCTTGTCAGAATGCTCCTTGGGCAGGCAAGGTTCTCTCTGCAGACTCTAACCCTACAAAAGGGGCAGAACCCTGGCTTCACCAATAGGGCCAAGTCCTGACATGCTAGCTTTCTTCCAGGAACCCTTTGTAGCTTGTTCTCTAGCCACAAAGTATACTCTGCTGGCATAGTATATGCCTATGTGCTGCAAGGGCAACAGTTGGAAACCGGAGAGAAAAATGAGGGCCTCTATTCCTTGACAGTTAATTTTGGAAACTCACAGGGTCCCTGACTCGAAGTCAAGTTGATGGCAGTGAATTTGGTTTGGGCTTTAGACTTACTCATGAGCACGTAGCTCTAACCCCCACCCCGCCAGAATAAAAGTCAATAGTCATTCCATTCCTCCCGAGCTTGAAAAGAGTGATTAACAAATGAGAACAGAGCAGTCTCCTATAAGGAGACTGTTACATTACTACTGTTGAGCAGGCCACTGTCAAGTGTCACTTTAAAGATTTTCAAAAACTGTAGATCAGCTTGAGTCTATGAGGGTACGTAAGTGTTGCTACAAAACAATAGAAACCTTGATCACACAAAAAATAGCAGCATGGGAAGGCATTATATCTCGACATGTCTTTTTGGGTCTATATACTTCCGAGGGTGGTGTTTTCATCTAACGCTTTCTCAAAATTTTCTCCACCCTGCAATTTATACCATGTCAAAATAGCAGTTTTCCCATCTTAGAGAGATTTAAATCATGTTCCTCTTAAATATGGGCATTAGAGACAAAATCTTAAGGGGCAAAGTTAAGACCGTATGGTGAATGGGGTAAGGTTTCCCACGAAATTCTCATTGCGCATCACTGGCTACCTTCAAACAATAAGCAGGTTCACTGTCGTGTTGGTTAAAAAAAAAAAATGCCATGGTTCAACTTTCTTAGCCTCTTCCTTCAAGACCGTATGGTGAATCGATTAAGGTTTCCCACGAAATTCTCATTGCGCATCACTGGCTACCTTCAAACAATAAGCAGGTTCACTGTCGTGTTGGTTAAAAAAAAAAAAATGCCATGGTTCAACTTTCTTAGCCTCTTCCTCATCAACACGTTTCAATTTTCTTAAACCGTTACAAGCAGCCCTTGTGATCATCCTGTGTCCTTTAAAAAAATCTAATACGCTTTTGGACCCAACTCCCAAAGTCCCCAAAACCTCCTGAGCTGACCTCTCTACCTTGAATCACAAGCCTAGCAGATCCCATGGAAGCTCATTGACTGGACTGTTTTTTTCAGGTACCCACCCTACCAAGACTAGGACAAGTGTGTTAGTAGAGAACTTGTCTGTAGCCATCCACTAATAAGACATGTTTAAATACGCTTTATTTGGCATAGACCCGTGCATGAACTAGAACCCTATCAGTAATATCTTTTGACTTATCCTTGTATACAAGAATTTTGAAATGCATATTTAAGGTGGTTGGGTTTTCAAAACTTTATGCAATAAAACTGACACCACAGAGCAATCTTCATTAATTGCTTACATACCATCAATCTCTTCCAAAAAATGTTAACACTGTGACGTTTCAGATAAATTATTTAATATAAACACACACACACACAAAACCCCCAACCAACAGTTGTTGGTAAAACATTATGAAAATTAAAAGAGCAACCAGTTTCTAATTTACTGATTCAAGGAAGTTTAACGGCAGATTTAGAGTTTTCTTAACAGAAACCTAAACTGACATGGTGCCTTAGGTTCAACATTCTATAGCAGTGGAAGCCCAGATGATTCTTGAAGAATTTAACACGCGAACAGAGTGTTCGCAACAACACAACCCAAGACAGGCTCCTGAGATTTTAGGTCAAGAAGAATGGCTTCAGAGAGAGGGAACGGGACGACATTGGGCCAACTCAGGAGCCATCTGCTGACAGCATTGGTGGATACAAACAGAAGCTAAAAAAAACTTATCTCACAAATTTAGTTATGTATTTCAAAGCACCGTGGACATGAAAGGACAGGTAGTTCCCAACTCCCAATGTAGTCTAGTTGTGACCAAGCCCACTAAGGACTGTGTTTTTCGGTACCTCTCATCACTAGGAATAAGTACTACAGACACCGTCTTGGGGTAGTTTGCTGCTATTCCCATTCGCAGATGTTTGATGTGTGTGTGATATGTGCAGAATGTAAAGACACTGATACTCAAAGGGAATAATCATGAAAACAAAGTAAGATGAAATCTTGGCCTTCCATCGGAACGAACATACCATGGAACCATCAGAAGGAAACCACCATCAGCAGTCAGGGACTACCCGTGTGCTACAAGGTCCAAGATCTCACTTGGACAAGGAACTGGGAGATCCAACCTTTGCCTGAGTCTTGCCAGGCATAGTTTCAGCTTACACCTTTCTCGGTGTGTTCAGATGTCACTAGTCTATTGGAGGAACTTTACAAACGGGTGAACTTTCTGAAAAGCACAATGGCCTCTTATTGAAAACGCAGTTTCAGTTTCACTCGAGGACAGAGTAAAGCCCTCCGGAGCATCAACTTCACTTTCCGTGGATCTACATCAAGTATGTGTGAGAACACACTCAGGCTAAAACAAAAACCGCTTCCTTCACTTTCAACCGAAAAGTCCTTTTACAGAGGTGGTTCAGACTTTTCTAGATGAAATACACAGGCAATACTGCTGGTAAAGGGGCGACCGCTGAAGAAGGGGGGAGGGGGGGATGTATGAGGAGCTGCTCACAGCGGCACGGTGGAATCGGAGGCTAGAGACCATCCTTCCCTAAGCTGAGTGTCTGATGACTGACCTGAAGCTCCTGTGTCATCCTAAATGCAATGCTGTCTAGGGAAAATAGTTTAATCTAGTTCAGAAAAAAAATAGTTCCTATTTTTCCATCTCCAACAAAACAGTGGTTATGAAGTCCAGCGCCACCAGGCGACCTTCATCCTGTCCCACACCGCTGAGAAGGAATCCAGGGCAGGACGGACATCCAAGATGGTGAATTGGTAGTTCTTGTCCACCTCGCCGCCATCGTAGTAGTCAATGATGTACCTCACCTCCGTCCCACAGCGGTTGATGATCCAATCGTGCCGGTCAAAGGGCAGCTCATACCTGGAAGAAAACAGGCCAGTGAGGGCTCAAACGCTTCCTGGGCACTCCAACCTGGGTCAAACCGTAAGAAAGATCCAGAAGAGCACCTGCCTGCCCTGAGAGTTCTCCCTCTAACTGGGGAGCTGAGATTCATGGGGAGAACCGGAATGCTGGCCACCCGGAATGCAGCTAGTCTGGTGGCATTCTGTGGGAAGGAGCCGGATCAGGGAGGTCTGCTGAGATACTGCACAAGTTCAGGCTGGAAAGCCAATGATAGGAAGGGGTGGGTGCCCACATGACAAATGGCAGCTCAGCCGGATCCCTGACAGCAAGCAGATGGGAAGCCAGCGTACGGCCAGAAGGGCCCTGCCAATCTGCCCAGGAGAAACTGCAAGTGAGGGCCACCATTACATTCTGGAAGGTGGTGCTGGGTGTCGTGTCTCGGCACCACTGGCAGGGTTGGCTTTTTTTCCTTGACCTCCGAGTTTTTTAGATCTTTTCACTTCTGCTAATGACAGAAAGGTCACGTTACCTAAGGAAGGGGACAGTATCATGTTTGCACTGGCACTTACCCCATCCAGGAACGGATCCTTGCCCTTGGCGAATACTCCTTAGCTTTACCTCCAAACCGGATCAATGTTGGACCGCAGGGACACTCCCTAGGAATCCCCAGGTAAGAAAAGTCTATTCAAACATCCTCTTTTCAGAGACCAAACCCAACCAAACTTAATGCCTTCAAGTCGATGCTGACTCATAGTGACCATTAAGGACAGGGAAGAAGTGTCCCTGTGGGGTTCTGAGACTTTAAATCTTTCAGGGAGCTACAAGCCTCATCTTTCTCCCTCGGAGCGAGTGGTGGGTTTGAACCGCTAACCTGGAGGTTAGCCATGATCTCTGGGAAAACCCTCCCAGTGGTCCCGGAGCAGGAGAGAAGATGAGGTGGAAATGAGGTCGCCTGTCTTGGGAGTGACATACTATGGTAAGCTTGGCGGCCATCCTCAAGTGTCTCTCCTAAGGGCCGGAGCACCAAGGGGCCTCTAGGAGTTCTGGCACTCTACTCCCCCCTACCCCCACACTGCCCAAGGGCCATAGGCCATAGGCCAAGATGAGATCCAACCCTGGCAGACTTTCTTCCCAGGCCCAGGGTGTGTGTTTCCAACAAGCTGCTTAATTCTGCTGCAACTCAGACAGCTGACTGACATCTACTATGAGGGGCACCCACTTCCCCTCAGAGCCACGCTGACTGCCTGGGTGTACCTCTCTAGCTTCCAAAGCAGTGCGTGGAAGAACCAGGACAGCGCCTGCCACAGGACATCACCACAGACTCTTGGGATGAGCCCTTTTCGCTCGACAGGCGTCACACCCACCTGCAACATCCGTGCTGGGTCCACAGCCCAAACACCGCCCCCCAGGAAGAGTTTCAGGTTTTCCAAATATTACAAAACTTTCTATTAAAAACAAAATCAGGCACTGAACTTTTTTAGCCCAAGCACTGCTGCCAGGTCCCTGCCACCCCAGCAATCACAGAGCACCTGCCAGGGGACACAACTCCATAGGGGTTTCGCCATACAGTGGAACATGCCACTTGGCCTGCTGTGTCTGGAGAGCGGACTGCTAACAAGAGGGGTGGCTGCTCCATTGACTCAAGTCCATGTCCTTACCTGGCGTGCAGGGCTTCCCACTTCAAGATCTCCTTCCAGGCTTGCTCGTTATTCTGATTGTGAATTCGAATGATATTATACATATCTTTCTGACTAATATCATCGTGTTTCCACTTCCACCTAGGAAAGAGCATGGGTACCGCCTGACAGTTACTGAGAGAGCCACAAAATGAGTCCTCGCCCCTGTGAACGGAAGATGAAGGCTCATGGTCTATGGACGTCAGTGGCCCCACAGAGCAGGACTAGCCAGCAGCCCAAAGGGACTGCAGACACACAGGAAACAAGGCCCAAGGGACCCCTTAATCTCATTCACGGAGCCCCAAAACCAGTCACACAAGGATCATGCCACTATCGATTTGGGGCTGACCCTTTTCAGGTGATACCATAGATGAATGACTAGTCCCTCCCGCCCCACCTTTTCCAAGGATTTCCTAGGACAGAGGTTTTTGTGGGTTGTTGTTTTTTTCCCGTAACAATTACTGGCTTGCCTTTAGAATTTGAGAAGTCCGGAAAAGTAGGTGAGTAGCAGAGAATGACTGACTCACCAGGCTTTCCTGAAGGTTTAGAGGATTGGAAACGTCTTTGACATTTATTTTGCAAACAACGCTGACCAGCAAGTTGCTATTGCCGACCGCAGGCACCCTCACTCACCCTTTCTTTAACATGGCATTCCAAAACATCTGCTCGGAGGGGTACACCCACTTCTTCTCGGAGTCCGCTCTTGGAATGGAAGATTCCTCCCTGGTCGTCGACAGCGGAAAGGGCTGATCAGGGGCTGGCATCTGATTAGGTGGTGGCATCTACATCAAATGAACCGAGTGGGTAATGTTGGAAAGAGGATTCATGGGGAAAATAAGCTCTAATTGATTCCCTCCTGGAAAGAGAGGCCTCACGCGTGTGGCCCAGGACCTTGGGAAACGAGCCTCACCGGCGACTTCAGCTGCTTTAGAGAGCTAGAATGCTGTCCTGCGTTTCCCATCAGTTCTCAAAAATGTTAACACTGTGGTAACAAGTCCTGCTTTTTCGCCTTTGAACAGGTTTAAAACCAATGTGTGATGGCGCCCAACCCACCAGGATTTCCAGATCCTTGTGTTGAGCCCAAACTCACTGAGCCTCACCAGTGAATTGTGACGCCAAGGACTGAAACCCTAGGCCGTGTGGTCATCACAAGGCATAACTGCTGGCAGTCATGTGACACCAAGCCCCACTGGGAATCCTGTGCAGGTGCCATCCCCCCCCCCCCCCCCCCACACCTATAAAAGCACCCCATCTTGTAGCATGGTCACAAAGTTTTCACAAGACCCAAATCAACTTTGCCACTCTAGCTGCACTCCTCAGTGTCCCAGGGCCACCAGGCATTCTCTGTGACTA